CCTGGCTGGCCCTTGCTCTGGGGACTGACCTCTTCTGCCCCCCCCCCATGCCATGCCCCATTGCGCCCGGGGGGGGGGGGGCCACGGGTATGTTTGGTGCCAGACCAACAAAAGGTTAATCTGGCCCTGGAGGGAGGGATGGGAGAGGGGGCTCGAGCCAGCTCTGCGCCGGAGGGAAAGGGAGAAGGGCTTTGGCCAGCACCGCATGGGGCTCAGGTGAGTGGCTCACGTGGTGGGAGGGGAAGGGGAATATACTCACTCTACACCAGCTCGGTAATACAGCCTGGCCGGGGGCGGGGCCTCAGGGGGAAGAGGAGCAGGGCTGAGGGGCGGGTGGGCAGGAACAGAACGAGCAGCAGGGGATGGGGCCAGAGTGCTGGTGCTCCTGCAGGCTCACCAAATGAGCCCCTGTGGCAATCTGCCCCTGGATGTCCAATCCTAGCAACAAACTCGAAGGTGGAAAGTTGGGTGCCTGAATGGGCAGACTCGCTAATGGTTCATCTTCCCACCTGTACAAGTTCAGGATGGAAAACTTAAAATAAAGAAAAACAGCTGGCTCCTACGTATGTCTGTGCAAGAATATCTATAGGTTATAAAACCTACCTGGGGGCTAGTCAGGACTTCAGCAGTAAACATCCAGTAGCCTCCTTTGTGAGAAATCTGTTTCAACAAAGTCATCATTCAAGGGCCTTTGCAGCCAAAAGGGTAGGACTACAGCTTGAACTAAAAGAAGTGGTGTTGTTTTTGTGTGGCAGTAGTGGTGTATTTTTCTGTATGAGGCCAGTACACAATGGTCTGAGGCAAAGGACAAATTCACCTTTACCTCACATTAAACTTTGGCACCCTTCCCTTTTAGTAGAAGGAACTGGTTAACAGCAGCACTAGGGGAAAAGGGGCGATCCTCTAGTGAATGTAGCTGGACGCTGGGGAATATGCCCAGCTCGGTGCCAATGCTCTGGGAAGGACTGCAAGGAACCAGTGCCTAGGTATATGCTCTCAATAGTGCTCCAAACATGGTCCATAGGTCACCTGCTGCTGGATTCATCAATGGCCCACTTGGCCAAGGCTTCCATGGTCTTGTCCAACCCTTTCTGCATGGTTGCGGTTTTCTATCTGGCCCCCTTTGTGCACGCCTCATGGTAGTAGAAGGGCTCTATGACCGTGTGTGTTTGAGAGAGACCTGCCCTCCTCCCCCAAGTCATGCTGGCACATGCACTGTGTTAGTTGTAATGGACGTGCCTGGCTGCCATGGACAGAAACAAGCCAAATGCAATTGCTTCTCCTGTATGAGGAAACATGTCAGTAGTACTACTACTAATGATGCGGTTGTGAAAAAGGCGCTACAGAGCAACTACGTGTAGTTTGGTGCAAGGGTCTCATTTCAGTGACATTTACTTGCTCTGAGGGGCTTAACGCCAACCCTGTTTTAGTGCCGTTTAGCTTGTTTTTTTTAACCACCCACTCTTCCTTGGAAACAAACTAATGCAGCGGACAGAAGGCCTGCTGCTTAGGGCTGACCAGCATAATGACGCTGTTGCTGTTTAGCCAGTGTTTGTGCACTGGTCTTCATTTTAATGTTCATTGCCAGCAGCCTGTACTGTGCACCACAGTGAGGTCCTGAAGTCCTGCTGTGCTGCAAGGCTGTATAGCTGACAGTGTTGTTTTGTGGCTTATTATCGTGCATTTCATGGAAATCAGTCAAACAGTCTTCTGTCATTGCCGTGCATGCTATGAAGCTGCACCAGGCCAAGGTTTCCACTTGCCCCTGATAGTATCCATTTACGGTTCAGTGAGAAAGGATGGTCCAGTAGTTAAGGCAGTCAGCTGGGCCTTATGAGACCCAGGTTCAAGGTCCTGTTCTGCCATAGACTTCCTGAGTAATGTTGGGCAAGCATTAGTTTCAATGGGCATTAGGTGCCTATGTACACTGAGGAGATGGGCCTGTTTACTCCACCTGTAAAATGGGGATAACAGTGCTCTTGTACCACAGAGGGGTGTTGTGAGACTTAACTAAAGGTGTTCGGATATTAGGGTAACAAGGGGTTGTACGCTGGCTACCATACTTGGAGCCGTAACTAGGCTTTTTAGCGCCTTTGGAAAGCAGGCATATTTGTGCCCCCTACCCTTCTTTTTTGCATTTTTCCACCCTGGGTGGCTGCCCCATTCTGACCATACACCTCTACCCCGATATAACACGAATTCAGATATAATGCGGTAAGATTTTTTGGCTCTTGAGGACCGCATTATATCGGGGTAGAGGTGTACTTATTTCTGGAATACTGAATATGTGGCACATGCCCCTGAAGAGTGACTGCAAACTGTGGAGGTGTGACATGGTTATTTTAAAAACCCCTCCACCTTGGCTAGTAATAGGGCAAAGGGAGCTGGAGCGAGGTCCATGAGGCCTTCACAAATTTGGATGTTTATCCACCTATGCACATACCCCCTGCCGGACCTTCCCATAATCACAGCTGCGCTCTGTGGCTCAGGTGGGAGCTCAGCAGCACCTGAGGCGCAGCAGAGAGGCCTCCGGCAGTGTTAACTTCATACTGCTGACTGTGTTTCAATGGAGAGGGCAGGGTCTTTTCCCACACCACAAAGTTACAGCTGCTCAGGTAATGAGGGATTCTCTCCCCCGGTTACAAATGTATATTTTATGTTTTGGTCAAAAACCCACAAGGCGAAAAACTTTCACTTATCAAAAACAAACCAGAGCTTTTATTTGAGTTTTCAACAAGACTATGAACAGTTTTTTGATGTGTAATTTTTTTCACAAAAATAAAATTTTGTTTTAGTTATGTATATACGAGTGAGTGAGAGAGAACATGCGTTTGTGTTCAAGGTTAGATAAACCTTTTGGATAGTTTTTAATCCTGTTCTGAACCTGCCTGTCCACCCCCAACCTAAGTTAATGGATTTCTTTTTACATATAAAGGCTTAGAACCCAGTTACACGTTAACCACCACATTTAATTTTTCAAAGCATTTTTTACAGACCATGTCAGAGGAAAGATACTGCTCCAGAAACTGAAAAAGCTTGAGTCCCCTCCCCCACAGCTAAGTCAAAGGCCTTTTAGGTGGGGTTTTTGGTGGGTTTTTTTTAGCACTGATACATAAAAAAAAAAAATACTTGCTGTGTAGGCAAAGGCTATGGTTGCCCATGGGAGGGAATCTGCACACCTGGAATCAGGCTAAACCCTAAATGGCAATGCGGAGACCTCAGACACAGCAGTGCAATCACCCTCCCCCGTGGTTGTACATGTGTATAATACAGACACAGACCAAGGGGCAGCTTTTTATCTCACATGCTCAACACACTTCACTGCATGGCTCCAACCAGCTGCTTGTATGCAAGCTCAGCAACAAGTCACTTGAGCTATGCAGTGATTTAAGCTGCAGCATCTAGACAAGGATTTCATCTAGGCACTGCACTAGTGGGGGGGGGGGGGTTTGAGGGTGGAGGGGTCTACAGCTCACTTTACCAAGGTAGCAGGAGCACTAAGGCAAGTAACTGCAGAACTCATTAAGTTGACATCCCCTCTTAGGGTTATGGCTACGCTGCAGCTAAGACCATGCCCCCGGCCCAAACACAGACTCACACTACCTCCACTCCAGCTAGTGTGCTAAAAATAGCCTAGACCCTGCAGCCTCCCAGGCTCAGAGTCCCCCTCCACCCCCACTTCAGGCTGAATTTGGGCAGCTAGCCTGAGCCTCCACTGCCACAAAGCTCGTTTTAACACCATTAACCCGGCTGAGTGGCATGCACCCCGCTGCAGTACCGACGTGTCCCTGTGGTAGGAGACACTTGGACTAACCCCACTGAAAGGACAGTGTGCTGTTGAGTTTCTCCTGGCATTGTAAACTGGTTTTTAGGAGAAGTTTTCTGTCACCTCAGTGGGGCTCAGTTTAGTTATTTGTATTATACCAAGCAGTGGAGCTCTGCCCATGTCACTGCGTTTTTTCCCCCTAATTCACATTTCCTTACCAGCGAGGGGTGTTAGGAGGATAAATACATTGCAGCTTGTGTGGCACTCAGATAGTAGGGACAGGGGGTCAGGTAAGTAAGGTAGAAGGAGATAAAACAGCTTATTAACCAACCCTTTTCCACCTAAAAATGTGAGGATTTGTAATGGGTAAGTTGTTTGTGCTAATTTGACTAAATTAAAAAAATAAATAAAAGGAAAGAGACATTGAAGGGAACAAGAAGGAGGGTGGTCTTGGGGTAACACGAGCCTGGGATGCAGGTGATATGGATTCTAGCCACACGTGACCTTGGACAACTCAGCTCTAACCCCAGGTCCTGCAGAGTAAATAGGTGCCTAACTCCCATTGAAATAATGGAATTTAAAACCTAAATACTTTTGAGGCTATGGGTCAAACTCTCTGTGCCTCATAGCCCTGTCTCCAGAATGAAGATAACACTTCTTCTTTCCTCTGCCCTTTGTTCAGAATGTAAACTCTCCAGAGCAGGAACTGTCTCGTGCCCTGGGTGTATACAGCACCTTGCACCATTAGGCACTGATCTCAGTTGGGCTTTAGATACATCTGTGATAAGTTCTAGTGTTGAGCAGAAACTTTCAAGCAGTTTCCACGGGCATCTGCAAGAGCCTCAGGAAGCAACTCTTCTTAATTACAGTATGTGATTCTAAGCCAATAGTCTGTCAAATGCAAAGCTTGTCTTGGCAGACTAATGTGTGTGAACACAAGGCCTAGTTGCGATGTCTATTTACTAGAAGAACACTTTTCTAACTGTGATGGGATTAGTCAGTGAACCACGAGTGCCTGGGGATGGTAAAACGGAGGCATGTATGACACATATATTTCCTATTTGCCGGTGGGGGGGGGAGAGAAGAGAGAGAGAGCGAGAGAGAGAGAGTGAGTGCGCACACGCGAGAGAACTGGTCTTTTTACTGCAGCATTTCCACCCCTGACAAAAGCTTACAAATTCTCTGAAACCTCATGTACTCCAAGACCAGAGTCAGTAATTTCACTGCAATGCAGTTTAGAAATAACTTATGTACCTTTTAGATTTTATTCATTCATACATTTACAGCAGTTGCTTTCATATTACAATTCTCTTTCATCTTTTCAGTTTTCACTTATAAAAAATTAACCAAATAAACCTTATTTATCCAAATTTATCACAGCAGGTCTGGTTAATTTTCACAGTTACAACGGCCATCAGAAACAGAACTTAAGTACCTACAAGTCATTCGTTTACAATATCACACTTGGTTCTTCTTAAAGACACACTGCCTTCATTTCAGAGCTGAGTAGATATAGTGTTTCAGTACTCTGCTAATGGAAGATTGAGTAGAGAGATCACTACATCGAGTAGCAGTTTATAGGCTGGGACTCAAATGCCTAAAGATATACTGAGGAGTAACTTGCATATATAACATTTCTTGACGCATGCTGTAGTAACTGGTTTGTATTGATACATGTGGACAGTATGCGAACATTTACCAACAGTACTGATTATCCTCATTGTGTGCTGCCACAGCAAAGTACATTCCTTTAGTCTATCTTCTGCTATTGTGGAGTCAGAGTTGTAGCGTAACACTGGATTAGGAGACCACAGAGACGCCGCTCTATGCTACTTTTGACAGTGCTCTCATCTATCTGCTGAAAGGACAACCCTCTGCAGCTAGGAATGGTGGACTACTCTAACTTACTTTTAAGATTCTACCAAGAAGATACTACATTGTATAAAGACTTGGGGTGTTTCTATTGGCTTCAAGCTGGATGATCGTGTATCAACAAGCTCAAGTCTCAAAAACCAGTGGCCCATTATAGTACTTAATTCTGCTCCCCAGTTACAATAGCAGCACTTCATTGCCAGTGTGTTCATTGCTGTCTTCATTTACTACTTTCCCGTTCTCCTCCCCCCCGTCTTTGCAAACACACTCATTTTCTTTACAGTGGTAATTATTGCTGTTTTAAAGTACGGTATGTTCATAGAAGAATACGTCTTTAAGGACTTGCAGCCACTTCCTGTTACAAAGTACAGTACATACTATGCTGAACGTAGAAAACACAAAAGACTTTTTTCACATTGGTCTTGTAGAGGTATGAAGAGATGCAGAATAGGAGACAGTTGAGGGGAATCTGAGTTTCCATTGAGGAGCATGTTAAATCTTATAACCCATGATTTTTACTAAGAGAACACTCGCTTGGACACTAACAATTCTGTTAATCATCTAGCCCCAATTTTTTTCAGTTGACATTGAATGGACATTTCTGCAAATGCATACTACACGATCTGTTAACACTACAAAGAAGTGATTTTACCTTAACTGCATTAGTTTCAAGAAGATTTTTTTAGCTTTAATAAAATAACACAAGCCCACAAACTGCTTAAAGATAACAGCCCAGCACAGTCATCAGAACAACCAAAAAGCAGTGGATGCTTTTGTTGAAACCTAGTTATTAGAAAAGAAAAGAAATATACATACAAGGCAAATGTCTAAACTTAGCTTTGGCTAAAGGAAATTGAAAACAATATTAGTATATATTCATTATGCTTAGCTGCTGATTTCACATTCAAGCATGTTACCTATAAAGAAATTTACAACTGCATTATGTATGTTACACTGTTGATTTAATTAACTTCCACCTTTTACTATTTAAACTTTAACAGTAAACTGTTCCCTCTTCAAAAAACTATCCATGTTGTAAAACAAAGAAAGCATTGAACAGTAATTTGCACACGCCAAATGTTGACTTCTAGCTTAGTTTTAAATTATTGTCTTTTAACTACACTCTCAGTTGTTTACATTGCATGCTAGCTTATTTTAATTTCAGTCAAAGATGCTTAGAAAGATAATTCAGGTAAGTCTTGTAGTGGCAGAGAGGGAAAATACAACATCTATACTGACTGAGGAGAGGTAAAGACCTCTGGCTACAAACACAAGGGTGTGAGATTTCTTGACCAAGGTTTGGTGTGAGTATGGTTTGCGAAGAAGAAAACGGATCCTTTTGCATTTTCAAACTGATTTAATAATTTCAAATCCATTAATTTTTCTTTATGTGGCATAGTGTATGCAACCCCAGGACTCCAGATGGCTTGGAATTAAAATACCTTTATTAGACTTTAAATAGAGTGCATATCAATAGCATTAAGCCAGGCTCTAATGAAATGCAGGCTTAGAGCAAATTTAAAATTAGACTGTTAATTCAAAGGTAACAGGAGCTGGCTCTTGCCCTTGTGTGTCTAGCAGTTCTGAACACCTTGCAGAAAGGATTAATTATCCAGTAATCTGCATCTCAGCCATAAACGCTGGAAAAATTAAAAGGCAGGAGATACAGTTCATGAACTGATACGGTTCAACGCTACAAAGGACAATAGTAAGGACAGGAACAGCCTTCTGTAAACATCTAAGCAACTGTCTTTCATTGATCAGATTTTTTTATCCGGATGGCCTGATTCTAGTCCCAGTGAAATCCATGGGAATTCTGCCACCCACTTCGGTGGGAGCACCAGGGTCTAAGGGCCTGACCCTGCAAGATGCTGAGCACCCTCCATTCCAACTGAAGTCACAGGGACTTGAAAGTGCTCCTCACTGCATGGGTTTGCACTCTAGAAGTGTGCACTTCAGAATAGCAGTCAGCCGAGGCCTAATCCTGCATCTCTTACACATCCGAGTAATAATAATACTTGGATCTCAAGGAGTTTTGCAAATGAAAGAACCTATCATTGTTCTCAAAATGATTCACAGAGGTGAGGTGAAGTGACCTGCCTCAGGTCACCCAGCAGGTCATTGGCAGAGGCGAGAACACAGCCCAGGTTTCCTCGACTTCCAATCATCTTCACGGTTCATGCTCTGTCACTGATATGAGTAAGGGCTGCAGGATTGGGCCTCGGGATGTTAATACGTTACTCATGTCACTTGATCCTTTAAAAGGAAGTTGCACTAATTTTTACATTGCTAAACGGTATTGGACTCTGCGTTTGGATTTAAGTGTATTTCTTTTGTTGCGATGCAAACTCTGATACTGTTTTACACAGCGTAACGCACACTCTACTTCCACATGGCGTTTCAATGACCATTCCAATAAATAATTTGTTGCTGTTACATTTCAAGATCACATATGCATAGAACATTGTTACAGTATTTTACATTTTAGTTAAATTCTTGTTTTCATTTCAGATAAGCACTTTTCAAAAACAAGCTTCATCCTGCATCTGTACAATCAACCAATCAAAAACTGTTCAACCCTTGACAAGATTTAACTACATTAAATGCCAGGCTGTTACACAAATACTCATTTTAAAATCATACAGGCAAAGTAATGAACTGATGTGGATATTTGCTAATTAGCAATTTTAAAATCAACTTAGGCAGTTCTACAAATTAATCACAAACAGTTCTTGGAATTAAGTTTCATTCCCGCAAGTTCTACCCAATAATTTTGTTCCATGGATGCACTAGGAAGGAGAAACTGTTATTCTACTGACACATGGAGGACTCTGTGCATAAAAACAGTATCTGGAGCCCACAGTCCTGTGTGCAAACAGAGACTGCAATACAATCATGGAGAGGGGAACCTAGGAAGCATTAAAGTGGTAATGAAAAATAATCTTGTACATACCCTGTAGCAGTAGCAGCCTAGGGGAAAGCCCCGTGCCATCCCTCTCAGTGCAGAATTCTGAAAGCTCCCATGGCAAGAAGCACTGTGAAGCGCCTGTCAAAGCAGAGATTAAAGCAGCCATTTCTAAACCTCCTGCGGGTGCTGACCATTTCACTGGAGGGGGAATGGCATGAAATTGTGACAATATCAGTTGGAGGAGGCCTGGAGAAGATTAGAACCTACTTTCCATACTGCTTTAACCACTTAGTATCACTGAATGGAACGGAGCCTAGTCAGGGGTCTAGATTCCTGTTGCTCAGGGTTAGCTGTCAATGAGACACATGGTTCTTAGGTGGCACTGCTCAGAGCAGGCACCAAGGGGCCGGTTCTGGCCCCCAGTTTAGCATGCGCACACAACTACTATTGTTGTAGCGAAAACTGTCCAGGTGTCTCCCAAGGAGGGCTCAGGCGCTAATGAGGTTAATATTAGACACATGTGAATCAAATGTTTATTTTTCCCTTTAGTGATTTACAATTTTTAAGAGGACTATACAAATATTAGGCCCTGATCTTGCAAGGAGGGTTTGGCCAAGAGGATCTTGGGTCTGACCCCAGTCGGGTCTCCTGCAGGAATCCACACACATGGAGCTCACGGCAGGATCAAGGCTGCGGGCAGGAAATCTACATTCTGCAGCCAAACGAATCACCAAAACAGAATCCTGACACTAAAATAAAAATTAACTAGAAAGCTGCAACCGTGACGCTGACAGAGCAGAATGGGGCAGAGAGCAGGGATAATCCATTTGCATATATGGGAAAACCAAGTAGTGGCACAGCGGTTGTCAAATACTACGTTCTATTACTTCTTAAAAACATTCTCCAGTTGAATTTGAGGTGGTTTTACCTGCTGTTAGGTTTACTAAATAAATAAATATATAAACTCCAACCCTTATGATGAGAGACAGACACACACACACACAGAATCTAGGATTGTTCCACCTCATTGTGCATCAGTCTGGAGGGCTTGCATGGAAATACTAAAATGGCAGCCCCTTTTCTCCCATTGAGAGCCTGTTCATAGATAGTGTTTAGACACCTGTTACTGTTCCCTGTTAAAATTCATTTTTAATATAGTCTCTTATTTAGTACAGAAATTAACTCTCTACAGTGTTAGAATTAACCCTCTGGAAAGATCCTCTAAAAGTTCTTTCAACTGCAGACTTAGATTTAGAGTTTCTCAGGGCAGGGACCGTGTCTTTAATCTCTTTGTATAGCCCCTTACACACTTACCGCTGTATACCTGTAACTGGAGGTTCTTCGAGATTTCTATTCCACTGCGGGTTACGCAAACGCACCGTGTGTCCGGAGCTGGAGAATTTGAAAGTAGTGTCTGTTGGTCAGTGCACATGCCCTGGCTCACCTCATGCCTCTGACCGAGGGAATAAAGGGCAGGACAGACCAATCGGCTCTCCAGTTCCTTCCTCACCACAGATCAGGGAAGATCTGAAGCAGAGGGGAAGGAGGGCGGGAAGCGGAATACAGATGGGGACCACACATCTCAAAGAACCTTACAGGTAACTAACCTCCTCCTCTTCTTCAAGCAAAGATCCCTCTTGTATTCCGCTGAAGGTGATTAACAAGCAGTGTCTCAGCAGAAGGAGGGTGCGAGGAGGCAGACACTAGGGCTGAGCGAAGGACAGGCATCAGCAGAAGAGCCCTGGACTAGGGCATAATGTCCGTAAAGGTGTGAATGGAGCTCCACATGGCTGCTTTACCCCTATCAAGGTGGTGCATTTCCTGGAGTGCTGCCATAGTCGCTGCTTGTGCTCTTGTGGAATAAGCTTACCCTGTGAGGTGGGGAGGGAAGGTTGGATAGTTGATAGCAGAATAGGATTTAGTCAGAGATCCATTTGGAAACCCCCGGTGCAGAACACTTCTCCCCCGATTCTTTCCATTAGAGCGACAAATAGTCCTGGGGATTTCCTGACTGGTTTTGTTCTGTGTAGGTAAAAGGTCAAGGCTCACTGCACATCAAGGGCATGGAGTGTTCCTCTGAGGAAGCGTGCAGTTTAGGGAAAAAACACAGATAAGCAGATCGACTAGTTCAAGTGAAACTCTGCAAGAACCTTGGGGGAAATCTGTACAAAAATGCTAAAACTATTTACAACACTAAATCGTATTTTAAGGGCCAAAGCTGAAGCTACAGACAGAGAGGTTCTGATCCGGACGATGACAAGAAGGAACTGGAGAGGCGGTTGGTCTGCCCCGCCATTTATCCCCTCGGTTGGAGGCAGATGGTCAGCCAGGGCACATCTGCAGACCAATGGACACTACTTTCAAATTCTCCAGCTCTGGACGTATGGTGCACATTCATAACCCACAGTGGAATACAATAGGGACCATCACTCGAAGAAATGTTCAAGCAGAATGAAGAAGGACTGGTATTGTCACAAGATGTCTGTCCAGCAATATGGCTTCCAGCAGCAGTAGGTTCAGAGCAAGCTGCATTTTAATACGCAATGCAAAGCTAGGAGTTTTTGTGGTGAGAAGTGTCACATCACATGTGCTCTGGGGTTCTTGCAATGAGAAAAATGGATGTAACCATCTTTTATGATGCCATTTAAATATATAAAATCTGAGACTCTGGGTGGATAAAAACAAAAACAAGTCTTTGATCTTGCTGTCTCTATGCAGACTGGGAGACTTGTCTGGGTAGGGACTGCAGGAGTGGGCCCTCTGATGGGAAGGGATAAGCATTTGTAGTCTGTAGCTTGAAGTCCACAGAGATTCTACAGGAAATAGAGGGGATTATCTGGCTCCAAGGCTGGGTCCAGATTAACATGCTTGGGGAAACTTTCCCCAAAAGTGCAGGTCCAACAACTAAGACTGCACTGGCGGATCCGGTGTTTTTAACCTCTGAGTTGTCTAACCGTACTCAAAGGAGATCTAGCAAACAGCAATAAAGATATCTGAGCCTTGTCTACACTAGCACTCTCACTCCTGCTACCGGAGGTGGAGCTACTGTATCAGCTGGAGAGTTCCCAGTGAATGCCAGCACAGACAGGGCTTAGATTAGTAGGAGTTCTACCAATCACTCTGGTGTCATGGTTTGGCAAAATGATAACAAGAACTACTTCCTTTTGGAGATAAAGCTAGCGAACAGGACAGACAACAATGGCTCCTGGTGTTCCCACCAAACTAAATATTCCAAAATGCCTTTCTGACAAAGCAGGGGTGACTTCACACAGGCATTAAGAGAAATAAATTTGCACAACAATAAATCTCTGAGAGGCAGCATCTTGATTCCTGTCATTACAACTTCAGGGCCCTGCCCACATGTTTAGAAGTACAGAGTTCCCATAGCACCTTCCAAGTTGCATATTTTAAAAGCGTATCTCGCTTATGCAAATCAAAGGTGTTACAGTCAGAGATACAATAATAATGTTACATTTTAACCTTTTTTTATTATTAAAAGGAAGTTGGTGACTTAACTGTGTTTCTGTCTCTGTGGGAGATTAGGGTATTTGAACCAGTTTTGGCTTGTCACATAGATATGAATGAGGCATATTACAAAGGCACAGGTATCAAATAAAACCAAGAACATTCTTTTAATTAGACACCCTAATAAAAAAAATTAAATTTATGTATTTTCCCCTTCATTAAGAGACTAGTTATTTTCATTGTCTGGAAAGGTTTTAGTGCAGTGATTCTACAGCAACAGAAAAAAAAATAAACTAAAAAAAGGCACAAACTTTTTTTTCTTTCACTTTTGCTAACACTTTATAATGGTCTATTTTTACTCAGGTTAATAAATCACTGAAAGCAGCAAGAAAATATTATGCCAATTTCTGTACACTATACAAAAACCCCTACCCTCCACTTCAGGAGAAATGTACAGCATAGAAAGACCTTTTAAAAAATAGATAGTAGCCCGCAAAGAAATTGTGTTAATTAAGCTCTTGGTCTCTTGAAATAGTGCCCTCCATTATCTACTTTTTCCCTTTATTACTGGGACAATATACCGGAGGGCACTGCCATTTTATGTATGGTATAGATTGAGGCAGGCAGAAATCCAGGGCTGAGAGTGTGAATTGCTTAACAGAGTAATAGGACAAAAATCTTCTGACTTGGATGTGCCTACACCTACTCCCTGGTACCTCTCACCCTGCTCACTCCTGGATCTGGTATTGCGTATGGAAGCTGTTCTCCCTCCCTGCCAGTTAGAAGCAAGAGCAGACAATGAAAGAAAGTGCTGGGCTCAGGAGACTAACCTCACACCCTCATTAGGCTCCAATTTTTCTACTGTGAAAGCTGCCTTTCTCCTTAACACTTGCTAAGCATGTGCAGGCTTCCTCCCTATTGAAAGAAGCACCCATGGAGATTATCCCGCCCTTGGTAAGCAGGAATTGCACGGACACTCCTGAGTTTGGCTCTCCTGTCTAACAGGCCAGTACCATGGGCTACCAGTCAGTTAGGAACTAATGAACTCTGGACCCAATTCCTACCTTTACATTGATGAATCTCAGTGCAGGAAAGACCCTGGACTGGAAGTGAAGGGCTAGCATTTTAGTTTCCACCTCACAATAGAATTCACATGTGTGTTCTCTGTCTCACTTCTTACTAGTTAAGCCTTCTCTGTCCGGTCTTCCTTTCATTCTTTCTAGTAACCTTCTTACTTGTCTCCACTATTTGATTTGACAAGGATAAATTTGTTCCCTCCTCTCTGAAACTCTCCTACCTAGTTGGTTCTACTATAGTTATAAGTGTTAGGAACATATGTTCAGTCCCTTATCAATTGTATCATGGTTTTCTTTCCCCCACCTCACACACATAATACTTCATAGAATAGTAACTTTTTTTCCCAGGAACTTAAGTTAAAGGGGGTTTCCCTTTAAATGTAATAAGATAGCTGAATCCCACCACCCACACCAAATTAAGTGCAACCAGAAATGTTTTTAATATTTCTGATACCACATTTTAAAAATTAAAACCTACTGATTTTTCCCCGACATAATTCATGCAAAGTTGTTATTTGTTTAAATAAGTTATAAAATTGGTATTTCAGGCTAGAAGAAGCTGTAGTCTTGGTTATTCTTTTGTTGGCAGGCACTGTACATACATATTAGGTACAGACACATGCCGAATCTGCTTTGCATTGCTTTTTGCATTGTACAATTCACAAATCTGACATTAAAGCAGTTATTACCTTTTATGGAAGGCTGCAGTGAGGCCATCTACAATTATTAAACAGCAGCTGGTTAAGATAATATGTATGCTTCCCCCCCCCCCACTCCCAAAATGCAATTATCTGTCACACATTGCTTGTCTGAAGTGTTTAGATTTGTTGCTCACATTTATGTGCAAATGTGTTGCCATAGAAACTGCAGCCTCCATTATGCTTCAATGACACCATTCAGCAAAAGCCAAAACAAATATAAAATTAAAAAAAAAGAAAAAACCCCAAACAAACAAAAAACAAACAAACCCAGAAGGCAGCAAAGAGAAACTCCAATGCACATGCGGAAGTCTGGCCCAGGACTGCAGGATATGCATGGATATAGAACAGCGCAGGAGATAGTTAAGTTTGATCTTATTTTACAATATGTTACAATGGGGCTCAGAGTTCAAATGGTTCAAGTCTGTTTGCTGGCTTAGGAAGGAAAATGAGAATGGAGAAAAAGTCATGGTTACTGGATGCACCAAGGTTCTTTCAGATATTTGGCAGAATGAGGCACATCCAAAAAAAGTGCAACACCAGTGCCTGGATGGCAGTGCTGTGTGTTTGAGTGCGTGCACACACTTCCTCTTCATGCATTGTAGCAAGCGGTTTTTTTTTTCACATTTTCTTTGAAAACTATTAACCAGTAATTTATAGTAAGATGAATGCATATTCTAGTTACTGGTGCATGAAATACTGAGAAATGCATTCAAGTAATATTTCTGCACTTACTGTATTATGAATGTCATCACTACATTATCTTACATTTGAAAAAAAATACTATGTACACCAGACCAGTGGTACTATTATGTTTGTAAGTTTCTGTGCTTTATGTAGGTACCTGGGTAAGATTGGAACAACAGGCTGTAGGTCCACTCTGACCTGCCAGGTCATTAACACTGTATGCATTAGGAGAGCAGTACTTCCAGCCTCAGCACCACCACCTACAGCATGCGAGAAAGGATCCTTATTTTGTACAGTCAAGCTGTACAAAGCAAATTAAAAATGAAATGAGGGAACGAAACAAAACACAATTGAAAACAAAAACAATGGGGGAAAAAGGGCAATTTTGAGGGGATAGGAGAAAACACTTTGTTTTGCTTTTGTTTCTATTCTTCACGCAGCTGCAGGCGGTAGCGGTGGTAGCGAAGCTGGAAAAACATTCTCTCTAGTATGGAATGTGTCATCCCAGGGAGGGTGTAGTGTTCAATGATGCCCACATGTTTGAACCCTAAGGATTCATACAGCTTGTGGGCTGCCACCTTGACAGCCGTGGTTCCCAGTATAATGGAGGAATAGTTGTTGAGCATGGCAAACTCCAGCACTTTGCGGCCCAGGGCCTTGGCAATCCCTTTACCCCGGAAGTTGGAATCTACGGACATGCGGCGCAGCTCCATGGTGTTGTCTTCCTCATTGCCTCTCGCAGCCACGATTCCCACCACATTTCCGTCCAACACAGCTACCCAGAAGCAGGAGCCTAGAGAAGACAAAGCAGAGTCTGAAGCTAAAGAATGCAACTGCCCTTCTGCATAAGCTTACCTGGGCTTAATACATCATCTTATGCCAACAGAGCCAGATTACAAAAGTACCAAAATCAATGCGAGTTGGGCGCCCAACCGACTTAAGTGCTATTGAAAATCCTACTGGGCATCTATCTACATATTTAGGTGCTTAAATAGCTTTCTGCATCTGGCCCAAAATTGCTTTCTTAAGACTGATAAGAGATTGTTATTGCCCAAGAGGGAGATGTGTAAAAAAAATCTCCTCCAATTTGAAATATCAGACCTCCTGTTCGAGACCAGAATTGTAAAGGTCATTAGACAATACACCCGTGTAAGGTGACCAGGGGAATATGTCCTCAACCTGCTCCAAGATTTAATTCTCAAGTGAAAGCCTGAAAATGTGTCAAACTCAGGGGCTCACTTTTCCTAAATCATATGGGAAATGGTGAAGTGGAACCATCCCATATGCCACCCTGCCCTATTAGAAGGGTATCTGGTATAAAGGTGTTGCACTTATTCCAATAAAGCACACAAAGAGAATTTATTAACTCTCCGTAACACATCAACATTACATATCTTTGGTTTCTTGGAACGGCCTTAGTTAGAGGGTGCTCTGTGTCAAAAGCAGCTGCAAAATGAGCTTCTTTATTGTAGGTTTTATTGCAAAATTCCTTATTTGATATACCAGCATTGTCAAAGGACTAGTTCCATGGGACATGTGAATAGCCTGTGTACAGTATAAATTAGGATAAAGTGAGTAGCCCTGCAGCCAGCCACCTTCAGCTGTGGTCTCAAAGCTAAGTAGGACTAAGTGCACGGAGTACTTGGACAAGAGATCAACAACAAAAACCCAGTAGCTGGAGGAAGTTATGTTAATGATTTAGTAGGCAGCATTCTTCCCCTCTGAGTCAATAATGAACCAGAGCCCGTCACAGTGTTAAGGAGTTACTGGGGATATTGTTGCCTTTCAGGTGAAACGTAAAAACCAGTCACGTCATTTAGTGTCCTACAGTGCTTTCCTCCCAGAGGATGGGATGTTGATCCTAAGCAGATGTCAGAATTCCCATTGAGTACTTGCAGTCTGTCTACTTAAAACTTCCATGGCATTGTCAACTGGAAAAAAAACAACAACAACCTACCTTTCCATAACTGTTCTTCGAGATGTGTTGCTCATGTCCATTCCATTCTAGGTGTATGCGCGCCCACGTGCACAGTTGTTGGAGATTTTTGCCTTAGTGGTATCCGTAGGGTTGGCTGTGGCACCCCCTTGAGTGCTGCGCTCATGCGCTGGTATACTAGGTGCCAACAACGCTATGTCCTCTTAGTTCCTTCTTGCCAGCAACTCTGACAGCTGGGGTAGGAGGTGGGGTAATGGAATGGACATGAGCAATGCATCTCGAAGGACAACAGCAAAGAAAAGGTAGGTAACCGTTTTTTCTTCTTTGAGTGCTTGGTCATGTTGATTCTATTCTAGGTGACCCACAAACAGTATACTTGGAGGTGGGCTTGGAGTTCTCAGTCTAGTGGCTTGCAGCACTACTCTACTGAAGCCAGCTTTGTCCCGGGCCTGCTGGGTAAGTGCGTAATGGGACATAAACGGGTGGATGGACGACCAGATGGCCTCCCTACAGATGTCCTGGATAGGCACCTGGACTAGGAAAGCTGCTGAAGAGGCTTGCGCCCTGGTTGAATGGGCGGTGACAATTGCCAGAAGGGACACCTTTGCCTGATGGTAGCAGCAGCGAATGCAGGCAGTGATCCAAGAAGAAATTCTTTGAGTGGACACCAGATGACCTTTCATCCTGTCGGCCACCGCAACAAACAATTGTGTTGACTTGTGGAATGGCTTGGACCTTTCAATGTAGAACATTAGTGCCCTCCGGACGTCTAGGGAATGCAATCTATGCTCTGCCTCCGACTTATGCGGCTTTGGAAAAAAGACAGGTTAAGTAAATATCCTGGCCCGTATGAAACTGAGAGACCACCTTGGGCAGGAAAGCTGGGTGCAGTCACAGCTGGACGTTGTCTTTGTAAAAGACCATATAGGGCAGTTCTGAGGTGAGCACCCTAATCTCAGAGACCCGGCAGATGCATGTTATTGCAACCAGGAAAGGAGAAGGAGAAAGCAGGAAGTCAGAGTTTCAAACGGGGGTGTGTCCCGTGAGCTGTGACAGCACAAGATTCAGGTCCCACGGAGGAATGTGGTCCCTAACGTGCGGGTAGTGGCACTCAAGGCCCTTTGAGGAACCTGGCAGTCATATCCTGAGCGAAAACCGATCTACCCTCAAGCAGCAGATGGAAGGCTGAGATGGCGGCCAAGTGAACCTTGATAGATGAAAGGGATAGGCCTTGGAGCTTGAGATGCAGAAGGTAGTCCAGGATTAATTGCAGTACGGCCTGCTCGGGCTGAATGCCTTTATCTGAAGTCCAACAAGCGAACCGCTTCCATTTAGCCAGGTAGGTCGCCCTGGTGGAGGGCTTTCTGCTGCCCAACAGGTCCTGCTGGGCACCGGCCGAGCACTCCTGCTCCTCCGCATTTAACCATGCAGCAGCCAAGCTGTCAGGTGCAGTGCCGCCAGGTTTGGATGCAGAGGACTGCCTGGTTCTGGGACAGCAGGTCTGGCCTGAATGGTAGCTGTAACAGAGCAGCAACCGAGAGGTCCAGCAGCGTGCCGAACCAGCGCTGACACGGCCTAGCTGGCGCTATGAGGATCACCCCGCCCTGTCCTGTTTGATCTTCATGAGGACTCTGAATTAAACGGCACTGGGGGGAAGGCGTACAACAGAGCTCCCAACCACGGGAGCAGAAAAGCATCCGGCAGGGAGCTTCTGTCAATCCCCTGAAAGTGGCATTTCCTGTTCTTCCTGGACGCAAACAGGTCCACCTGGAGAGTCCCCCACATCTGGGGGATGATGCTGACCACTTCTGGATGGAGGGACCATTCGTGGCGAGATGAGAAGATCATGCTGAGGCGATCTGCCAAAGCGTTCCTGGCCCCGGGGAGATGTGCGGCTATGAGAAGGATGTTGTGCTGTATACAAAAATCCCAGAGCCTGAGGACTTCTTGGCAAAGGGCAGACGATTTGGCTCTGCCTTGCTTGTTGATATAGAACATAGCTGCTGTACTATCTGTCAGGACCTGGACCTGGACCACCCTGCTTTTTATGTGAGGTAGGAAGGCTTGGCAGGCCAGGCAAACCGCTCTGAGCTCCCTGATGTTGATGTGTAGGGAGTGATCGTGACTCAACCAACAACCTTGCATGCTGAGATTGCCCAGGTGGGTTCCCCATCCCAAGTCTGAGGCATTGGAGATGAGGGTCACCGACGGGGAAGGAGCTGCAAAAGGAACTCCCTCCAACACAGAAGCAGGATTCTGCCACCACGTGAGTGATGACAGTACATCGTCCAGGACCCTGACCACGCAGTCCATGCTGTGTCTGTTGGGGATGTAGACCAATGCCAGCCATGCCTGCATGGGCCTGAGGCAGAGCCGCATGTGCCGGACCACATAAGCGCAGGCCACCATGTGGCCTAACAATTGCAGACATGTGTGAGTGGTGGGCTTGCATGCATAAGATCAGGTCCGCCATTGCTTGGAACCGAGCCTCGGGGAGGAGGGTTCTGGCCTGAGGGGAGGCGAGGACCCCTCCAATGAACTCTACGCGTTGCACTGGAATTAAAGTTGACTTTTTCTCATTTATTAGCAGCCCCAGATCACGACAGGTGGAGCAAACCAAGTCGAGATGATGCCGCACCTGATCCCAGGAAAGGCCCTTTATTAACCAATTATCAAGGTATGGATAAATTTGCATCCCTCGGCACCTCAGGTAAGTGGCCACTGGTGCTATGCGCTTCGTAAACACTCTCAGTGCTAACGAGAGACTAAAGGGCAGCGCCATGAATTGAAAATGGCGGTTGCCCAACACAAAATGGAGAAAACGTCTGTGGCTCCAGGAAAATGGAAATATGCGGCCTTTAACTCGAGGGCAGTGTACCAGTCTCCCGGATCCAGGGAGAGAATAATGGAGGCCAGAGAGACCATACGAAACTTCAACTTCCTGACAGACTTGCTGAGGCGGCACAGGTCCAGAATGGGTCTGAGACCCCTTTTGCTTTGGGGATAAGGAAATAGTGGGAGTAGAACCCTTTCTCTTTCAAGTCTGGAGGGACCTCCTCTACTGCCCCCAAGCATAGGAGGTTCTCAATCTTTTGAACGAGTTGCTGCTCGTGAGAAGGGTCCCTGAAGAGGGACAGGGAAGGGGGGTTGGAGGGAGGGTCAACCATGAACTGCAGGGTGTAACCCGAAGATATGTTGAGCACCCAACGGTCTGAGGTCAGCTGCGACCAGGCTGATTGGAAGGGGCACAGGCGGTTGAGGAAAGAGCCGGGAGATGGATCCTGGGAAGTGACTGGGGTGCCATCCTTGGGCGCATCCTCAAAATGCCTGCTTCTAGCTTCCTTGGCCTCTGGAAGAACCAGGCTGGGCAGAGGAACAGGAAGACAAAGGGTGATGACGTTTAAATCCTTTGTCTCTGTCCTTCTTTCTGTAGAAGCTGGACCGAGGGACACCTCATGACCTTAACAGAGGTGGAGGGGGATGGAATGGCTTTCTAGCCTGCTGAGGAGTGTGTAGGCCTGAGGAACGGAGGGTGGCCTGGGAGTCTTTAAGGCCATGGAGCCGTGCATCAGTCAGCTCCAAAAAGAGCCCTACTCCCTCTAACAAGAGGTCCTAAAGGATAGTCTGCATCTCCTGGGACAACCCAGAGGACTGTAACCAGGAGCTGCATGTCATGACCACCGCAAAGGCAATTACCCTGGCCGCTGAGTCCACAGTGTCCTACACCATCTGGAGGGCACCCCTCACCACCGCTTTTGCCATCTTCCACCAAGGCGGCAAACTCCTGGACTCAGTCCTCTGGGAGGCCCTCCTTGAACTTGCTGATGGAGTCCAACAGGTTGAGGTGGTACGTGCCT